GTTGACCACAGGCTGATCATGAGGCAGCAGTATTTATCCTAGAGGCCAAGAAGGCCAATGATGTCCTGGTTGGCCAATGGTTGGCCATGATACAGCAATCCTGGTAGCCAAGAAAGCCAACAATGTCCTGATTGACCAAAGGTTGGCCAGCAGTTGATCACAGGCTGATCGTGAGGCAGCAGTGTTTCCTAGTGGCCAAGAAGGCCAACGCTGTCCTGGTTGGCCAACAGTTGACTACGATTCAGCAATGTCTCCTGGTAGCCAAGAAAACCAATGTTGTCGTGGCTGGCCAATGGTTGACCGCAGGCTGACCGTGAGGCAACAGTTTGTCCTTGTGGCCAAGAAAGCCAATGGTGTGCATGGCACAGAACGAGGTGAGAACGATTCTCCTCCCCTCTGCTCTGCCTCGAGGAGGCCAAATCTGGAGCACCGCACCCAGCGCTGAGCTCCCCAGCTCCAGGCAGACGGGAAAACTGCTGTAGTCCTTTCCCAGGCTGTTCTGTCAAAAGGTTTTTCAGCCCCAAAAGCTCAGGCGCTGCCCCAGCCCTCCCTGACGCTTCGCTGTGTGCTTTGCTCAGTTCTACAGCGCTTCAGGGATGCCCACCAAGCACCTCTCCGACAGCGTCTGCGCCGTCTGCGGCCAGCAGATCTTCGTGGACGTCAACGAGGAGGGGATCATCGAGAACACTTACAGGCTCTCCTGCAACCACGTGTATCCTTCTCCTCCACAGCCTTCTGGGAGCCCTGCAGCTTTCCCCATTAAAAAATGTGGCGTCCTGAGCTGCTCTGCTGATGTTGCAAATGGAAACGGACGACATCTCTGCCCCGCGTGGGCTTTCCACCACCTGCAGCTGTGCTGTCAGTTCCGAAAGTGGAAGTGGCTTTGGCTTTATTCAGCTCTGCTGATTAGTTGGGTTTCTTGTTTCTTCTTTTTCTCCTGCTGGCTCTGACTCAAGGGGTGGAGATGGGAATGCGCTGTCATGCTGTTTGCAGCCAGGTGATTTCCCAGCTGCTCCAGGAGCGCTGCAGGCTGGCTTGGGAGTGCTTACAGCCGTGGGGCTGAGCTTGTGGCTGCTGGAGGAGGTGGGGCAGAGCTGTTGGGCTGCTCGAGTGGGTTCGTGTCGGCTGCTTTGTGGGTGAGGAGCCAGCCTTGCCTTCCCCAGACCGCGTGGTTCTGGTGATGTCTGTGTCACACAGCCCTGTGACTTGGGGTTTGCATTGGGCAAATCCCTCTGACGGCGACAGGCTCATAGGAGAAGTATTAAAGGAACTGGTGAGCTGGCAGAGTTGGGGCTTGTGATGCACACATGATTTGCAGAGGTGCTTTTGGCCTCGCAGACCTGCCCCCACATGGGTTTCCCCGTGCCCCACTGCTGGCTCCTGCCCTCCCCTGGCTGCTCGGCGGGATCTCGCAGCCCTTCCTGCAGCTTCAACCCCTTGCTCTGTGCCTGGAAGGCTCTGGGCCTTCTAGGAAAGGTTCTGTCCTCACTCAGCACGGGCAGCTTCCCATGCCCTGCATGCGGGGTCAGTTCCTCCCAGGAGGTTCCCCTTAACGCTGCTCTCCAGCTTCCACGAGTTCTGCATCCGTGGTTGGTGCATCGTGGGGAAGAAGCAGACGTGTCCATACTGCAAAGAGAAGGTGGACCTCAAGAGGATGTTCAGCAACCCGTATCCTTTCTCTGTGCAGCAGCAGCAGCAGCAGCTGGGCTGGCAGCGTGGGCTCAGCTCCCAGCCCTGCACGCTCTGATCCTGGAGCTGTGGAGCAGCCGTAGGAGCCAAGAAGCACAGAACCCTCGAGTTCTGAAATGGGTTGGGTTGGAAGGGGCTGTACCAGCCATCCACTTCCTGCCCCTGCTGTGTGTTGATGTCAGATAGTGCTGAGGTCAGGGCATCAGGCCACACAGCTGAGTGGCTTCGTGTGCAAAATAGAATGATAGAATGCTTTGGGTTGGAAGCGACCTTGAAGCTCACCCAGTCCCAGCCCCCTGCTGTAGGCAGGGACACCTCCCATAGCCCAGGCTGCTCACAGCCCCATCCAGCCCGACCTTCAGTGCTTAAGTGAGGAGAAATAGATCCGTGTTGCGTTGCCTGGCAGCTTCCCCTACCTGCTGACCCAGAGCTTAGATGAAACCCACCAACTTCAGACCACATTCGTGCTTCCTTCACTCGTTTGCACGCAGCTGGGAGCGACCTCACGTCATGTACGGGCAGCTGCTGGACTGGCTGCGCTACCTGGTGGCCTGGCAGCCCGTTATCATCGGCCTGGTGCAGGGCATCAACTACATCCTGGGCCTGGAATAAGGGCTGGCAGCTCCCCATCCCCACCACGGGCAACAGCACGGCGCCGGCCGCATCCGTCCATCCCCACAAGGGGGGGTTCGGCCACCCCTGGGGGGGGGAGGGAAGGAACGAAGCAGCACGGACTCAGCTCTCCTCCCATCGGGGGATCCGGACCGGTTTTTAAACGAAACGATTCTTTTAATGAGAGTATTTAAAAACGACACACACACACACACAAAAAAAGGAAACTTGCTGTGGCCGCCGATGAGAACGGATCGTCCCGGCGGCCGCGCAGCGCTGCGCTCGGGGCTGGATCTCCCAATCCTGCAGCTTTCGAAGGACTGGGGCTCATCTCCGGGTTATTCTGTGCTTGGGAAAAGGCAGAACCCACCGAGGAAAGACACACGGCTGCCCTAAAACGCTTAACCTAAAACCCCCCGCTTTGAGGCGAGGGGGAGGGGGAGGAAGGAGCCGATTCCGAGCCCGCTGCTTTTTGTACACCGTCTTTTCTACGTGTCCCCGTGCCGGGATTGTGCTGCCCTCGGCCGGCGGGATCTGCGGTACACGGAGCCGTGGGGGCACCCACGGGAACCTCCGCACATCGGTTGCTCTTTAGCAGCGGATGGAAGGGACGGAGGCGTGGGGCTGAGGAGCTCTGCTCTGCTTCCCCCGGTGCGTCGAAGCCCCGGGTTTCGTGGTCGGCGACGTGGTGGCGTTCCGGTGACTCTGAGCCGCGTGGCCGAGTCACACGGATGCCGTGATGGCCCACCTGCCCCCCATCGTTCCCATTTGAGGGGCGAAACCGATGGGATGGCGGCTGCGGTGCCATCAGAAAATCAATCGGTAATAAAACGTCTTCGAAAAGCAGCGGGCTTCCAGGCACCTCTCCGTTAATTAACGCTTCGTCGGGCCGAGGGATGGAAGAGGAAAAGGAACGGGGGTTCCCCTCGCTGTCATCCCCGGCGATCGACGCTGCTCCCGGCTCTGTCACGACTTTGGGGAGGTCCCCGCTTTACGGGAAAGGGAGAAGGAAGGGCAAAGCCGGTGACTCACCGCTCCCTGCCCATAAAACGGCGCCGTCCCGAGCGCTGCCGCACGATGGCTCCGTGCTCCCACCCCGACGGTACGGGCACGGCGTTCCGGGGATGGGATTTGGGCTATGGGGGGGTACGGGGGGGCTGCAGCCCGGAGCTCAGCCCCGTTTGTACCCGCAGTGCCCTCCAGCCGCCTGGTGCTGCCCCTGCTCTGCTGCGCCTTCGCCTCCTGCAGCGCAGGTAAGGGGAGGGCGTTCTGGAT